GCAGAGGTGAACAACTTGTGTTTCGCGCGCTCATATGACCTTAGCAGTTGCGAGCGCCGTAAAACCTTATACTATACACATACATAAATTTCCTCTTCCGAAAGTGGTGGCACAGAGTTCCCTACGTCGTATGGATACAATAATAAAACGCGGCATACGGATAAGGTTAAATATATTCTCATGTGAAAATTTAAACTGCTTTCCCTTGTTACTTTGCTTTTGATTGTTCCTTCTTTCCTTCTCTTCACAGGGCCATGCTATGCTTGTGGAGCGCTATCCGTCATAATAACAGCAACAACCTCCAAGGGGATTAAATGTAACTGAGTGAAGTGGTGGATTGAAAGCTGAAGTTGCAGACTGTAAATGACATTACAGTGACATCTACTTTCTACATAATTGAGATTTTGTGTTTCAGTTTCAGAAAGCCAAGGACTTTTTCTACTTGATCTCTGGAATGACTTTAGACTTTCTGATTTTGTATCTCTCACGTTTTCAGACTCAACACTAAAGTGTATTGAGTTTTTTTTTGTTTTTTTTTTCAGTAAGTTCTTTAATAATTTTTTCATTGACTTGAAAGCATAGATGAAGACTCACTGAGGTTTTTTTTTTCTTGCTTGTTTTTTTTTCTTGCTTTTTTAAAAAGGGAGGGGCGGTCATAAACAATAATGTTGATGGACATTGGAACATCTTGTCGTGATAGCATAACTGAGCTGGACACACTAATAAGTTATGTCATTCTGTTGTGAAATCTGAGTGGTCTTGATTACCACATACAAGATAAATGTAACAAAATATTTTGTTGTCTCTCAATTTTGTAAGAGGATAAATCTGGTAAGTGGCATGCTTGTTTGTTGGTAATTCGTCTGTAGATTTCAGATGAGTTAAAATACAAATGTGTTCCTTCCTATTTGGTTGGTAAACTTTGTACAGCTTTTTCAATCGGCCAAAGGGTTGTTTGAGCGATGCAAAGTGTGTGATGTGCTCAGGGAAGATCTTTGTGTGTACTGTATGACAGGAAGTTTGATTGCAGAGCACTTTAATGACAGTTTACTTTAAAATGTTTTGATACTTGGCTGTGTCTTGTTGTGTACCTGAGATTTTGACCTGTGTAATCAGTCGGTGATTTCATTCCATTGTAATTGTAACAGATTAAATTGGGGATGATTGTTTTCTATTTTCTGTTTTGATGGTTCTAACACACAGCTGTGTCTATTTTATCACAGAATTTGAATAAATCATAGCATAAGGTTTGTGGTCAAGATATTGCAGGAGCTTTTTATAGTCATTAAGTATTTAGCTATGCTTGTAAAAATCTGTACTTTACTGTAACTTATCTTGAATGAGAGGGTGTGTTTTGCTTTGGGTTGGGGCGTAAATCTGAAGACGGATATTCTACATTGCATGACCATGCAATTATTTTCAATAATGACCCGCATTTTGTAGGGTTTGAGAACAGATAAGTAGTATTAAAGTGCTTTCTTTGTGTGAACCGTTTAGATTAAGTACTGATACTGAGGTAAATCTATGCGTATTGTGTGTGTATTGTTGTGATACCAAGCCTGCTTTAGTGATGTAATGTGTTTGTCTCGTCCCCAATGATCAACACACAATTGCAAACTATGAATAAAACTTTTTGAAATAAAGGCAGGATTGTTTACTTTTTATGGTACAAGTTCAGGACTCATCTTATGAAAAAAAATGTCACATACAAAGAAAACAAGGCATTTTTAATCTCTCCTTTCATGTCTCCATGTTATAACTGGCTGTGGCTGAGTAGTTTCAATGCTGGAGCCGGCACCGACCATGAAAGCTGTTGGGCACTTTTTTTACTTTTTGCGGAGCATCAGGCAATGTTAACTTTCAAAGCCTTTAGAATCACAAAATGGCTATAACCTTTTTTCTAGTTTGCTTTTTGTCCCGACACATTGGAATCGGAGGCGCGTATCGTTGCTAGTTGGCTTTTGGAATTACATTCCTGGCTCAGTTCAGATTACTGTCATAAATAATTAGATAATTCTGACAGTATGAGTGTTATTAACTTAGTATTAGGAGCTTCTAGTACAGTTGGTACTGGACAGAGTCTGTTTAAAGGTCATGGGCAGTTGGTTGGCGAGTGCTCTAATGTGGTTTGCTCTTTCTTTCCTATCAAACATCTATCATCCTGATCTCTCCTTCTTTTTAGTGTTTGTTACTCTCTTGTAACATCTCTAATCTTCAGTACTTATATATGATCTTATTGTGCTGCAAGTGCCGTAAAATCTTACTAAAACTAAATAAAAGGGCATGAGTTTGATTCCTCATGGCTGAAAGTCTGATGTCCTTAAAGGAAGGACATTTTAAACAAATTTTGTGGTTTTTCCCAACTGGTACATGTATTAGCATTTTTGGGGGGGTTAAATCACATTTAGAAAAGCGTTCCTGAGCCAAAACTGACTGCTTTGTCTATTCTGTTTCACACTTTAGAAAATGAAGTGTTCTCTAGTTCGCTGGGCATTCCGGGACTTGAGGGAACTTTATCTGTTTACCTTTACCTTATCTCTGTCAGGTAGAGTGGTTGAGGAGCACTCTGGTGTTATCTGTTCATTCATTTTCTTATCTGTTCCGCTGGCAAAATGTGTCCATCTTTGTGATGACTCGCAGTAAAACTACAGCTCAATTGAAGCGTCCACATCCCTCTACTGTTGTCTCATTTTTCTCATCTCAGTCTTTCCTCTGTGTTTCAGTGTACTGCTGTTACGGCACATCATATACAAGTTTACAAACTTGTGTAACCTTTGATGATCAGCATCTGTGATATGATGGCTTGGTCTTTGCTTTTGAATTCAATTCTTGCCTTTATAAGGAAGTCTATCAAGTGCCGCATTTCATCTTTCTTCTTAGATTCTGTATCCCACTCAGTCCATGATGGCCCTGACAGGCATAATTATAATGGTAGCAGCCCATCTCCCCAAATGATCTAAATTATGTTGAATGGGAGCATCAAGTATTTGTAAACATAAACTGTTGATTATAATTAAACTTTGAGCTAAAAAAAACTGAGGATCAGCAGCTCATTGTACCGTACCTTTATTGAGAGATGTCGTTTACTCTGCTTTTGAAATCATAATACATTCTTAATCATTTAGGTTGCTCGGCTAAACCAAGAAGAATAAGTGCATGTGACGTGCTAGCTGATTCTCCTTACCTAGATCTCCCTTGTGTCTCAATTTTAAACCGTTGTTAGTTTGTATCTTGTCTTGCTTCTCCTCCTCTAATAATAATAACAAAAAGAAGAACAACAATGATACATAATAATAATATTAATAATAATAATAATAATAATAATAATAATAATAATAACAATAACAATAAGTAGCAGTTGTGTAGCACATATCTCCGCTTGAGAGCAGGCTCTGTGTGCTTTCCATCATGTTATGCTTTATTACTACAACAGACCCTGGTATACTGAGAAACATTCTCAACTTCCCGGGAGGCATACAGTGCAAGAAGCCAATTAACAAACACAAACTGAAATGATATTTCGCTTTCTGTAGCCCGGTACCCATTCCCACAAGGGTGAAAAAAAGAAGAAAATTCGTATGAAGTGCCTTTCCCAAGGACACAACATCGGGGCCCTGGCAGGATTCGAGCCCACGACTTGATTGTTGCGAGTCCGAGAGTCTAACCACTAAAACACCGACGTCATGCTGTTGCATTCATTCTGACAAACTCGGTTTGTTTGTTTGTCTTTTTGTTTCGCAATTTAAGCGTTCCACAGTGAATGAGTACGATGAGGAACACGTACAAGCAGACGCACGCTGCACAACCGCAGGAATTTTGTTTGATAAGTGTTTTACGGCACTCGCGACTTCATCATAAAAAGGCCATATGAGCGCTCGGGGCACATTAAACATGTTCAGTTTGGTAGGAATTAATAGGCCCTATTGAATTTTTCCCGGGTGGCGGCCGAAGCCTCCTTTATCGTTCTTGGACCACCAAGGGATCGTTCGCAACTTGCACACGCAACCCCCAAGATTTTCGTCCTTATCCGAGAAGACTAGATGTTAAATCTTATCTTACCTACCCTAAGATCAGGGGTGTGGCTGAATGGCAGCAGTAAGTTAAGGAGCCAGGGAGTAGCAGTAGAAAGGCTGTAGAAAGAGTCAGGAGCCCAGAGGAGGGGACAAAGGGGGTGGGGGTAAAAAGTGGAGACGGCAGCAGACGACAGAACACACAGAGCAGGAAAGAGGGTGAACAGAAATTTTTTTTCCATCGCTCTCAGGTTTCGAATCCGGGACCTATTGAATGAGAGGTGAACACCGTAACCTCTAGACCACGAGGGATGGGCGCGCAGGTGGGTGGAACCTGCACTACTATGTCATTTCTTTTCTCTTCTTCTATTGTTTCTGTCGGCATATAATCGTTCTTGTTCCGTACATGTGTAGTAATAATGGCCGTGGTCGTGTCAATATTACTATGCTTCCTTTTACTCAAACCAGACTAATTAGTTAGGTGTAAAGCTTTCACACACACACACA